CCATGAAATTGAGGGAAATAAAACATGTATTTATTGTCCAAAACATACCGTTGTGAAAATGCCAAAGCTTCCTAACAGAAAGAAAAAAAAATTAACTCCATACCACAGCAGTAAAGGAACCTGAATTTACTTTGACTTACACCATGAAATAAAAAGTTGTACTGACTTAATCTCAAGTGTAATGCTGATCTTAATCAATTTGATCTTGATCAATTCACTAGAAATGTGCATCCACACCCCGAAAATAAGGCAGCAAATTAAGATTTCAACACAAGGTACCTTTCTACTTTATGACGGTCCAATTTTGACGTGTTGGAAAGGTACACCACACAGCAAAATATCAAGACTAGAATTGACACTGCAATAAATAATCGAACATGTCATTAAAAAGATTTTTTTGCATCAAAAAGATTTTCAGGTGGACACAGTCTTGCAAAGTACTTTAACATTCAGAATTGCTCATCATGTCAGCCTTTCAAAAAGTTGACACTGCTTGTGGCTGATTTCTTTTTGAAAACCTTTCAGATTTCTACTTCTCCACATCACAACACATAGCACAAACATTTGAGAAATGACCTTCTACACATTTTTTTAGCCTACTTGGTCATTACATAAAATACCTGCTTCACAGTTATTTTCCTGTCTTATAGCTTTTTCAAAAAAATAAATACTTAGACGCAACAAGTATTTTCTCCCAAACCTCACCACTACTGAATGGTAAAGACTTCAAGGATATACCCAAACAAGTCCCCTACATAGCTGAGCAACAGACGGAAGGTTGGCAGACATTTTTTCCATCATTATAATTCTCTGGCAACATTTCCTTTACAAGCGTAGTTTACACAATTCAAATAAAAATACATTAAAAATACTTACAAGGAACAGTCATTCTACCCCAAACAATGCAAGGTTTATGTAAGCTGGAAGGAGAAAAATACTATTCCATTGAAGCTCAAAGTGAAAACTYGCAGTCACATAGACTGCGAGACAAGTACACAGTCCACTGACATAAGCACTAGTTACTCATTTTAGAGTAGGACAGGCATCTTCCTACAACCCTTTCACAAAAAAAAGATATGGTATTACGTTATTGTCAGTATTACAGAGACAGTATTAGAAAAACTCGTTTTTGCCAAGAAGTTGCCTACAAATCTAAATGTTATCATTTTACAATTCAGACTAGTTGACTGTAAGAGCCCAATTGCCTCTTTCTGATGCCTGGAAACTCCTTGCTATTGTTTCCAAATGCACACTTATTTAGATTGTAATGAAAATGTTGTGGACATGGAATTCTGAAACATGAAAGAACAACACAATTGCCACCTACTGAAGTTGGTATAGGACCGTTTTGGGAGGGTCAACACAGTTTTCGTTATCTGTATGTGCTAGCTACTACAGGTGCCTGGTTCCACAGAAGCCTTGAACTAGGCAAGTAAAACATGGAAAACCATTATCCTCTTACCACAAACTAGAACTTGGCAATAAATTTGTTAAATGACTTACCCAGAGTAACCCATCACTTCACTAGGTAACTCAGACAGAAAGCATGGTCCAGTTCCACCCACTGGATTACTGTCTGCTCAGCAAGAGCAATGCAAAGTAGAAGCTTGTTTCTATTTTATGTACCACAAATACAGCTGCATTTTATAKCAGTTTTCAGTTTAAATAAACTACACCTTTTGATGAATAACTTTACCACGGCAAACTATATTCAAACATCACTGACTGATCTCAAGCACATAAAAAATGTGAAAGCGGGATTTTAAAAATGTTACTGAAGTTCAACAAACAAATAAAATAAAAATAGAAAAAAAACCCTGAGTAACATGGGGCAAAAAAATAATACTTAAAAATATCCCCCCAAAATTATCCCAAATCAAAAGGAAAACGGGAAGAAACAATGGTTTCCTTACTATTTAATTTGTGATTAACAACTCTTGCACAGCAATTTAACAAGAGAAGGATATGTCTGAAAAAAGTCTTCATATAATCAAATTTTAACCTACCAGCATAATCTGAAAGGAATCCTCCTGGGAAACACAGAGTTGTGAAATTATACATATTAGCACTGCAAAAAGCAATCAGATGGCATAGTAACCAAGTGAGGGGGGAAAAAATAATGCACACTTTTCTGTAATGCTAACCCCTTTGTGCAAGAACCACTTACACCTTGACTTGGAGCTATTACATAGCCAGACCAGATGAGCTACTGCACACCGTAACAAAAATATTCTATTTTTATCAGAATATTAAAAATGAAAAATAAAATATAAATTAGAAGCAATATTAACATTTTATGGCTGCTTTTTTTTTTTTTGTTAGAGGTTTTTTTCATTATTGCATATAAAAACACAACAATATTTTCAATCCTACATAAGAATCTCTTGCTGATTAGCCCAGACCATGTTTGGTATACACACACCTGCACCAAAACCAAAATAATTCCACAAGGATCATTTAAAATATCCTACTGTGCAGTATTTTCATTTGACATAATTCTTCTTATGCCATTATAACGCTTAATAAAAACAAAATTACCTGTCAAAATACAACATCCATACTGAAAACTCTCATACACAAAGTTAACTGTCAACATGTGAGAAGGTGCTTTTAAGTCAATGAGACTATGCACAAACTTTCATGTGTTCATATGCTCTTCCAGGAACCCGGGTCAGAAGACCAACGGAACACACACAAATACAGCACCTACGTGCTAAAGAACATCTGGAAAGGGGAAAAAAAAAGAGAAAAAAAGGCAAATTCTATTCAGGAAAGACAACTGAAACAAGTYGTATTGAATTGTTCAGTACAGTGCACCTGAGCACAAATTTTAAGCAAATATATTAGCAGATCTCTGTTGTATAGCAGAATGCATACATACATTTTATACTTATTTAAGTCTAAAAAGCCCAGATAAAACAAAGTTAACCTAACTTCAACTTCTAAGCCTTTGTCAACCCTTGAAATTTTCATACACTGTATCATTTACAGAGCAATCATTTAAATCTGTGATAAAAAGTATTGGTTTCTAAGGTATTGTACTTCTATAGAAGCTGGCACAGGGCTTTCTATTTAAGCTAACATTTATAAACACACACAACTGCAGCAAATATTCTGCCAAGAATTTAAGAATTTTACTTTCTTTTAAGAACACATTTTTTAAGGTGCCTTTTAAATATCTGTATTCAGGCACAGTATAGCTTTCAGTGAAGACATAGTTTTAAAAAGTTAAGATATGGGACTTAACTTCCTTTAGAACAAAATTCAGGACTTGGTGCACATTCTATACTACCTCATAGGAAAACAAGCCATTCAATATTTCTATTCAATTCCAGATCAATTCAGAAAGCCAGGTGATATAAGCATTTATTTTAATTCGACTTTTGGGTATTTTTAAGTCCTATACACTTCTTGAGTCCATAAAAAGAGGGAGGTGGAAGGTATTTTTGAATAAACAGAGTTATGATACTAGGCTCCTTTAAAGCCAAGTTACAACTTAGCAATTACTACACAACAGACTTTGCACCAACATGAAAATTAGGGTAATTTTTAAGAAAGCTACAGCAGAGGCTAAAAAAGCAASAATGTTCGCAATTTCAAAGCTAATCTCTAGCTAAACAAAAATGCATTAAGAAATACAGAAAATACAAAATAAATACTTTTTGAGATCTAYCAGTCCACTGCAGCCACACAGAATTTTCATATAAAGCAACTGAGGAAAAGACCAAGATTTTCAAGTGAAAACTGCTACTTATGAGACAATTTTTTCACATCAAACTTCAGGATATACTAACGGCCCTATTTTTCCACTAAATAACAATTATTTAAAATTAGGTTCTATTAAAGAGGTTTTTTTAATATAAATTTCTGGAATTTCTTTATTTTCAGTTTTTAGCCACGGGTTTTTCTTTCATTTGTTGATAGAACTAAGACACAAATAGGTTACAATAATGATGACTACTTTGACAACAATATTAAGTTTCTAGAAGAGATGTGTAGACAAGGTTTATCTACGGTATACTCTTAGCATTATCAACAGCTTCCTGAAAATGAAACGGAAATACACTTGCAAGTCAAGTCCATCAGCTCTTGATAAGTGATAATTCAAATCCGTTTCTAAAATCAGAAGCAGTCAACGCCTTTAAGTTTAGCATACCAGCTGAATACTCAACATAAACAACAGTGAAGTTGGGGGCAAAAAAGAAAAGAAAAAAAGCCATAGGACAGCTCTATCATGTTCAAGATGACACAACTTGATCCTGCGAGTTGTGTTCCAATAATATGACACTACAAGAGAACACAAAGTATGTCAACACATATATAACAATTCTTCCAGGTCCAAAGAAAGATGCCTCTGCAATACAAACTTTTACAATTATTTTGCTCTTGCAGGTCTTCACAAGTCTGAACAGTCTGAAACAAATCCAAGTTTCCCAAAACACAGTTTTCCAATAGCAAACGTGACAGCAGGTTTGATCATCTTAATCTCTCTTTCCCCAGCTGAACAGTTAAGACTAGCAGCCAGTCACCAGCACCAGATGTTGCTGCTGTGCAGGCACACAGGAATGTCTCCTTCACACTCAAGTCACACACATATATACATATATATATATAGCTATCTATTAATGAAAGATACACAGAAAGTTCCTATCCTCCCCTGGGGATAAAACAGTGCAAAGTTGAAAACAACTTTTTCCCCGATAAAAGAGACAGCAGAAATGAAAACACGTTTGTGTTAAATGTGAATCAGCAGCAGAAGCTACTAACACCTTACACAAGCRTATTTTCATTTTCCCACATTACAGGGCCTCCGAAACAAAGTTATTTGTAATTTCACGAAGAAAAATCCACCCGAAACGACCCTAAACTTCACCAAGAAAAMTCCAACCCATTAGCTGATAGCTTGTTTTCACCAGGAGCACACATACACTAACTAAACTGCTAACACTGACCCTTGCATCTTTCCCCACCTCCCTACGGTCCCTCTCTTATCCCTAACTTGTCACCCTGTGCCACCTCCTCTCCCAGGACGGGTCAGATTCACGCCAGAACTTGTCATCGCCGCCCCGGCGGGCAGGGGAAGGCTGGCTCCTTCCTACGGTGACCGCGTTCGGTCCCTTTTAAGTTTGTTTTACAAACACGTCCGACGGAAAGCCAGAACCTGTTTACACACCGCCTTAACCGCCGCCAGGAGGACAGTGAAACAGGTACAGGCAAAAAAAAATATTTTTCAACTGAAAGCCAGTCACCAGCACCCCCTTCTCACCCCCTTTCTCCGCCTGGGGCCCGCGGCGCAGGCCGCACGGCCGCTCGGCGAAGCGCGGGGCCGGCGCAGCCCCGGCCGTGGGCGGCAGGTTCCGCTGCCCCAGCGCCGGGCCCGGGGAAGGCGGCGGGCGGAGGCCGGGAGGCTGTGCAGCCCCGCGGGGCCGGGCTCAGAGGAACGGGGGAGGCCTGGGAGCAGCCGGCGGGGCGGCGGCGGGAAGAAGCCGTTCGGGCGGGCCGGGCGGGCCGAGCGGGCCGCAAGGCGAGCTGCCAACGGCGGCCGCAGGGATGCGGGGCCCGGGCACCACCGAGCCGCGGCCCCCCTCCTCCCCGAAGCGGCTCCCTCCCTCCCCAGCCCTTCTCCCATTGGCTCCGCCCCAGGCCCCGCCCCCGGCCCAAGATGGCGGCGGGCCCCGCCGCCGCCGCCGCCCGCGGCCGCGAAGGAGGGCGGGGAGCGGCGAACCGGGCCGGGCCTGCGGCTGCGCCCCCGGCTCGGGCGCCGCGCGTCCCCCCCGCTCCCCCTCGGAGACAAAAGCAAACGGAAACCCGGCGGGGCGGCCCCAGGCCCGCCGAGCCCCGCCGAGGGCCGCGCCGCCGCCCGGGCCTCCCACATCGGGCCGCGGCCGGGACGGCGACGAGGCCAGGGTCGGCGGTGGGGCCGGGGAGGGGCGGCCGGGGCCGGACTCACCGCATGAATTTTCTTGTCCCGCGAATCCAAGATGGCTGAGTATCCAGCACGGAGGATGCTGGGGGAGCAACCTTTACCCTCTGACCCGGCCGCCGCCGTGACCCCGCCGCCGCTCGGCCCGGCCGCCAGCGCCGAGGGGCGGGAGTAGCGCCGCCGCACCGCCCGCAACGGCCCGGCCCTGCAGAGGGGCTGAGAGGGACGGGGAGGAAGGGGAGGAGGAATGAGCAGCGAGGCTCCCTGGTTGCGCTACCTCCGCCTCCCGCGGGAGACGCGGCYCAGTGCTGGGGGCAGGGCCCGCAGGCCGCGGGGCTGCCGGATCCCGCCGCGCTCCGCCGGCCCCACTGAGACGCTGCTGGCCGGGGACGCGCCCGGCTCGGATCCGGTTGTGTGAGGGGAGAGGGCGGCGCGCAGGCCTGGAGCGCCGAGCCAGGCCGGGGCGTGGGGGTGAGCGGAGCGCAGCGGGGCTCCCCGGTTCTCCCCGCACCCCTGCACCCCCRGGGCTGCCGAGGGCCTGTGGGACCTACCCCGGGTGGACGCGCTCCTCTGGGAAGCGCCCCAGCTTCCAGAGGGAGTGTCCCATGCCCCGTGACCCCCGTCTGTCAAGTCTCTTTGGGTTTCAGAGTGCAGAAGGAACGGCCTGGCGTCGCTGGCTGTGTTACCCTGGGGGGGATCTAGGTCAGGAACCACCCGACGATGGGGTAGATTGTGTGAAAGTTCCTATTTTCTCTGCGGCGTGGTAGCAGTGGAGAACCGGGTCCCGCTATCCACTTTGTGTGTTAATAAAGTGGAAAAGAATTTCCAAGATGACACAACTGGATTCTTAATTTATTGATCTTCAAAACATGTATGTTATAGCAATGGCTTGAATGCAGCTAGTGCTGCAAAAAACWCTCATGCAAATAATCCCCTTGAATTCAATGAGACTGTCAGTGGTATAAAAGCTAAGCCTGTGCACAAATGTTTACAGGATGAAGGTCAACATTATTTGTGAACTGYCTGGCCTGCTCCATCAAGAAACACAATGGCACTTACACCTTACTTTTGCTGTAAAATTATCATAAAGTTYAAAATTTCAAGCAAAAGGATGAGCATATAGTGCTTCATCAGAAACAGCAGGTTGCTTTCAATAGTTTCATGCATGCTTTTTCTCAGGTTTGATTTTGAACCTCCAACCCAACTGAAGAATTACTGAAGAATTTAGTAGGTTACACAGCACTAATATTTAATAGAAACATTGGTTGTACAGTAGCATGTCTGTCAACATAAAAATGTTTTGAAGAAAAAGTACAGTTTTTCATCTAAGCCAGAAGACCGGTTTCTTAATGCTGCCTCCATTGTGTACTGTACAGTCGTGTGATGAGTACGACTGCCATGTTGCTGAAAKGAATGTCTATGTGCACCATCCAGGAAAGCACAGCATTTTATTATCCTAATCATAAACCTTTCCTTTGTGAGTCAAATATTCATGCATTTGTACAATCAAACCATTATAAAGCACCAAAAGTGATACACTGTTCAGAGTATGAACTTCTGGACTACTTTTGTTGTTCAMTCTGAAATAAACATTTCTTCATTCACAAATCGAATATAAAAGCAGTACTTTYAGACTGAAGAATACAATCAGTGCTAATAATCTTATAGTGTTATTAAATAAGCATTTGGATAGTCTGATTCTTTTATASCCATTTATAAACATTTTGCTTCATTATGTTTCATTTCACACTTTAGTGGTCTGAGTTTCTTTTTCAAAATTACTGTTCATTTTTCCAAAGAGAAATCATTTAAGACTATACCCAACAATATGATGCAAGTAAACTAAGAATGTGATATTGTCATTGCATTTACGTGAACTCTCTGTCCATTACAAAATTGCAGTTTACATGCAAATCAATTAACATTTATAGGACAGGAARCCTGAATGGTTCTACAGAGCTAGGTAATGGGAAAAAAAGTGTGTTGTGTTGGGCTGGTTAGCTTAGGATGAACAACCTAACTAGCACAGTATGTGTAAATTGTGATTTAAATTCCGTTAATTGAAAAAAATCTAACCTGTCCTTCTGCCTAAAACTGTTTTGTTGAGGAAGCTCATTACTCAGGCTGCAGTAGCTGTGTATTCTACTTCCTCATTTGTTTTCTTAAAGAAAGTGAAAGCAGTTAGTGTTTTAATGCGTTAAAATAACCTCCAAAACCACTAAATAAGGCGTATTGTCAAGTATGTTCATACATTCACTACTTTTAGTTGACTCAATACATTTTTCTGCGAAGATGAGGCCTGTTTCCCATAGTTGTACCTGCTTAATTAAAGAAGTGCCCTGAGCTCATTTAACAAAAGGACTGGTAATAGTGTATGGACACTGCTAATCCATTTTGAACCATAAATTGTTTATGTCTTTGTATACTGACAGGTAGGCATCTGTTATTTTTAATCTCATTTAATCAATGGTCTCTTTCTTGACTTATTTCACTGGCTAGGCTGATACACATCCATCTTAAATCAAAGTAAGAATGCCTATAGCAGTCAATCTGAAAACTTGGTCTGTAGCAGCATAGATGAAGGAACTAGAAAATATGACCATAGAAAATCTGTCCTGCATGTGTTGTTTGTGCAGGCCCCTGCCATCAACAATCCATGTGATACCCTTGACAAGTCTTCTGCCTAATGTTCCTGAGAACTGGGCCCTGAACCTGTGTGTTCTGAAGCAGTTGTGACTTATCTACCRGCTGCTTGGATTTCACTAACTAATGCTTCTCCTAATGCCTACAGAGAGCTAAAAGCCTACAGCACTTGGTTGGAAAATTTGGGAAGAGGTCATCAAGAGAGTCAGGTGTGCTTAGAATCCCTAAATGCTTTACAGATCTCAGTGTTCAGTGAGAATTTTCTGCAGTTTTCCTGAAGCTTAGCTCAAGAGAGTTTGTGGGTGCTCAATGACTCAAAGTGTCACCAATAGATGTGGGCAATACTGTTGCAGAAGTGGGAGAAAACTGCCCAGAGTACGTGTARGGCTATTCCACTTCTTCACCAAAACATGAAATTAAATTAATCATCATGAGACCACCATCCTCAGTTGTGTCGAGGCAGAACATGGTGAAAAAGCAACCTTACAAGTAGTTTTTAAATAGAACAAAAAAGTTAATTGTAACACAGCAGGGTTCTTTCGTTCTCCCACCTACATATTGTCACAGTATTCTTCAGGAAAAACAAACACAGTGTAATCACCTATAGCAAGAGTTGGCAGCTTTTCAGCAGTGGTGACACAGGCTGTATTTTTCTTTCTCAGATTAGGGATTAAGTCCCTTGGAAGAAACAGCTTTAACCAGAAGACACTGCCTCTTGATTGCAAGGTGCGTTTGGTCAGCTGAAACAGGGAAATATCTTTTTGGCAGAAGACAGGTTTTTGATTTCTGTTGTGCTTACGACTGTGATTGGTAGACTAATGAATTTAGAGCTACAGCTTTTCCATGATGTCTGTCTTACTGAATGATGTTAAAAAGTCTCTCAGTTGCTTTCTTTGGAAGGTTGTAGGGTTACAGCACTGCTCTGCCTTAATCTTTGCCCTAAAAGAATATAGGAATTTTTTTTTTTTCATTAGTATAGCCTATTTGATTTTTTAAATATTTCTAAAACACAAGGACAATGATGTGTCAAAGCGTACACCAAATCTAATATTAGGGATCTCACTGCAAAGGTGTTGAAAACACATTTTTTTTCAAGAATTAAAGCACTAAGACCTTACATTTTCTTGCTGTATTTTCTCATAATTCTTAACTATTACACTTAAATTGAGCACAAAATCTTTAGACTTGTGCAAAATTGGTTAGTTTGTTTGACTTTTGCAAGTTAGTCTCCATATGCTAGTGTATTTAGGAAAGGTAAGGGAAGGATCAGCTGTTTCCATGGCACTGTCCTTATCTATCCTTTCACTCCTACAGGGGATTTCCAGGGATGGCTGCTGGCAAGGGAAGCCCTAGAAGTGCAGCTCAATTACTATTTTAGCGTTAAAATGCATCACAAGGTATCCACACAGATGGCTTCTCATCTGCTGGATTTGTAGTTTCCAGGAGGGAATATTGGGAGCAGAAGTATCTTTATCTCAGTCTTTCATATTTTTACTACCAGGAAACCCTTTCTCAGCCTTCTGCTCTAGTGCCTTCAATGTCTGATTTAGTGCTAATTATAACAGAGTATCAGGGGGAGAAAAATACCAAGTTGACAAAGAAGTCTGCCAATTCTGGAAAATAATATGACCCCAAAGAAGA